GCTGCTCAGACTTGCTCCGGCCTTTCCAGTCCGCGCCCAGCAACGTGCGGGCGGCCCCGCGCCCCAATCTCAAACCCTTAGAGTCGTCCCCCTCCCCAGCCCCGCGGTGCCTTCACCGCCCGCCGCGCGCCACCCCCATGCCCGCCGGTCGCCCGGGCCCCGCCGCCCAATCTGTGCGGTGGCCGCCGCCGCTGCTGTCTTTACTGTGGTCGGCTCTGCTGCTCTGCGTCCTCGGGGTGCCCCGAGGCGGATCCGGAGCCCGTGAGTACCGTGCACTCCGCTTCCAACTCCCGAGGGAAACGGCGATCAGGCGCCCCGGGGGGCAGCCGCAGGGAAGGAAGAGGGGGCGCGAGCGCCACCTGGACGGCCCGGGAACAAAGGAAGGCGGCCCTCGGGGCGCCGTCACCTGCGGGACGCACGGTGCCACCATCCCGTGGCCCGAGGGTCCTGGCTTCCGGGCTCGAGGCCTTCTTACCTGGGCCGCCTTGCATGGGAGCCCGGCCAGGCCCTTTCTTGGGGGGATCTTGGTGGCCGGGGACCCCCTTCAGGGTGCTGGGACGAGGCGGGGGCGCACGCGTCTGAGTCCAGTATTTCTGAGTTGACGGGACCTCGAGGCAGCGCTCCGAGGCGGGGGTCGCACCCTTGGGGTGTGTTGGGTGCTGGCCCACAGTGGGGACTCCCCACTGTGGAGGGATGAACCCCGCGGGGAGGGCGGGCCGGCATCGGGGCCCCCTGTTCTGACCGCTTGGCATGAGTCCCGGTGTCCCCCGGGACTTCGCTCTCCGCGGGGCCGACGCCACCCAATTCCCCCCGCTGAGGGACCCCTACTTCGGGATCCCCGAAGTTCCCTCCACCGATGGCGCTTAGAACCTTTCTCATCCAGGCTGCTCAGGGCTGAGAGTCTCCAAACGAGTGAAATCTCGGTGAGAGAGAGCTAGAGCCAGCGTGTCCGGGCACCGCGAGCCCAGACATTATTGTGTAGGGGGGACCCAGTGGGGACCAGATGCTAGACAGGCCAAGAACCCCACTCTCCCTGGAGGAAACTCCTGGCCGTGGGCCCCCGTCTCCCAACGCACACCCCCGCACCCCCCGCCCTGCCAGGATAGCGTCCCCACATGCAGACCCTCTCTGGGACACACCCAAAGACACACAAAAGAGCGCCACTGGCTTGTGTCCCGTCACCCTGCCCTCTGATGCGCTGCAACCCAGATGCGTATTCGCACACCATTACGGTGCACATTCCATCCCCGACACACACAAACACACACACACAAACAGATTGTGGTCACACATTCATTCCACAGGGGCGGCAACAGGGGGGCATGCATGTGGGCAGGGTCCTCCGCTGGACTTTCTCACTCATGCTCTGTTCCCTGTCCAGGGACATAGACCACACGACCAGGGCACGACGCAGCACTGCTCCTCCCTGGCTCGCTGATGCTGGTTTTGGTCACAGGGTCCCTGGACCTACCCAGGGGACACAGAACCACAGTCCTGCTTGCCCAAGGCCTCTGGGGAGATGAAGGGAACAACCCTGAAACCTAGCAACCCTGATTTGTACCAAGCCATGGGTAATCTTCAAACACCTCAATAGCCTAAGCTTTGTTTCTGAGCCCCAGAGCAACAGTCGAAGGTGGCTGGGATGGGGGTGGAGCCAGTGTATTTTTCTTTAAGGGGAAAGAAATTAAATCAGAGGTTCTCACACCTCTGCAATGTGTTTGTACTTACGGTGTGTCTTAGCACCTGATCAGCAGACTGGTGGGTCGTAAAGTGTATGCAGGTACCAGCGGGACAGGACATGGGGACCCCTGTGGGGATGGCTGGGACTGAGGCCACCTTCTCCATTGGCCTTTCAGGCAATGTAACACTTTTCCCTTTTAAAACACATGGTGTTCTTTTTAATAAACGGCTGCGACTCCACATTGGGAGGGAAAAGAAGCCTGTATAGGCCCCAGCTTTGTGGGGAAAAGGGGGGGTCCTCCTCCTTCTCCAGGCTTGGGGGAGTGCTGTTCCCAGCTGCTCTTCTGCCTAGCTTGGAATGTGCCCCCCAGTCCCCGATGGGCTTACCCCATTGTTGTGGAAGCTGGGAGCCAGGCTGCCTGCACCCAGGAGCTGGCAGAGTCTGGAGTCTTCTTGTTCATGGGAGCTCCAAGGTGCCAAGTCTATTCTTAAGAGGAAGACCTGCCCTTGGCCCCCGCTGACAGCAGGTCTTCCTCTTATGGAGGAATAGATAGGGTGCCAGGTGTCCCAGGTACTGCTGGGGTGCTATACCCAGTTGCCCAGAGAAGAAAGCTTTGGCTGGCCTGTCCAGGCTGGCTTGGCCTTGCCCCGCTCCCCCGCCCAGCCCTGCAGGGAGGCTGCAGCTGCTGGCGAATCCAGGCCAGGCGGGTGTGGCAAAAGGGCAGTACCCCCCCCCAGCCAGGACCCCCCAGAGAGTTCCTTCCCTGGCTAGACGAAGGCCAGAGAGAGACGAGAGGGGCCTGAGCATCCCCAAAGAGCGCGGAGAATGGGGTCCCGCGTCTGGGCAGGCCTGGCCGTGCCTCCCACCCTGCTGAGGGGGGCGCCCAGGCAGGAAGCAGTGGGTGGGCGGAGGTAAAGACGCTGGCACGCCCCAATTCATGCCGAAGGAATTCTGAATTAGCGGGCGGCTGGCTGCCTGGGACCTCCGGGGCGGCCCCCTGGCCCCCGCCTCCTCGCTCTGGCCGGCTCCACCGGCTCCTTCGCACGGACGCCGAGACCTCCGCCGAGCCCTGAGCCAAGCCCCAAACGCAACTGCGATCTCAGGCTCCAGCTAGCCGCGCCTCCTCCCAAGGCCAAGTTTGCCCGGGAAAAATCCTTTAGGGCAGAGCGCAGAACCCTGTCAGTGCCACCTCACCCACCAGTGCATTGAGGGAGGGTGCAGGGTGGCTGCTTGGGAAACAAGTCCCAAGGGTGGGGATGTATGCAGCCCCTGTTCTCCCAGCTGCCTGGGAAATCCTTTTAAAAAGCAAATCTCCACCCAGCCGGCCCAAATCTCGGAACCCTGGAGTCAGGGCTCCCTTCCTACAGGTTGTGGGAGGCCTGCTGATTTTCCTTTCACTTCTGCCCCAGAGCCTTTGCACATGAAGGTCTCCCTGTGGCCTGCCTTCCTGTACTTCCTTCCTTCCTTCCTTTCTCTCTCTCTTTCCTTTTTTTTGGGGGGGGGTCTTTTTTTGAAACAGGGTCTCTCTGTAGCCCCAGCTGGCCTGAAACTCATTATGTAGACCAGGCTGGGCAGGAATTCACAGAGATCCGACTGCCTCTGCCTCCAGAGTGCTGGGACTAAATAAAGGCAGGCATCACCACTTAAAGCTGTACCTCTTTCTTAACTTTGATATCGCCCCACCCCGCAAGATGGTGCGTGGGGTTGCCAGGCATGGGGGCCGACACTTGTAGTCCCAGCACTTGGGAGGCAGAGTCAAGCAGATCTCTGTGAGTTCAAGTGTAGTCTGGTCTACCTAGTGAGTTCCAGGCCAGCTGGGGCTACAAGGATACCCTGTTTCAAAAAAAAAAAGAAAAAGATGAGAACCCAGGATAGCCCACCTTAATGGTCCCATGGGGTGCCCCATGTAACTTGGAATGCCTCCAGTGGTCTGTGTGGTGGATATCAGAATGAACATTGGCCAAGTAGAGAAACTGAGGCTCAGGCTTGGACCAAGCTCCCCTCCCCAACCCCTAGGCCTTACTACCTCTCTGGGGTTCCATCCTCCAAGAAGGACAGCTGTGGGCCCCTCTAAGGACTCACAGGGCAAGAGGATGGGGGTTGGTGACAACACAGTGTAGGAAGTCCCTTCCTAAGTTGCCTTCTCAATGGCTCTGGGGACAGCTTCCTTGTTTCTGCTTTTGTGAATTAGGAAAGAGGTGTGGGGGAGTCATGACAGAAAGTCCCTTTTTGTGGGGGAGGGGGTGGGTCCAGCCCTTTCCAAGGCCACCTGCAGCTGCAGTGCTGCAGGGTAGAATTTGGAGACTTGTGTGCCATCTACTACCCTCAAGGTGCATTGCATAGGAGCTTTGTCATAGCCTGGAGCTGCACTGTAAAGTTTAGAGATCCCAGAAAACGCCTGGTCCAGCCTGGTGTTGAGTGCACACCAGTGCCCTACACTGTGCCCTTCCTTCATCCAACAGGCTCCAGCTCTCTCCTTTTTCCTTTCCCAGATGGGATCTTATTTTGTAGCCCAGACTGACCTTGAACTTGGGATCTCTCTCAGTCCCCTGAGCACTGGGGTGACAGGCCTGGCTAGGATATTCCTTTTCAGAAGTGCCTCTCTCCCCAAAACACATATGAAGCTCTGGGGTACCAGAGAAAGAGCATTGCCAGGACAGAAGAAAGAAGGAAGGGAGGAAGAGACAAGGGGAGGTGGGGGGAAGGAGGGAGGGAGGGAGGGAGGGAAGGAAGGAGGTACAAGCCAGGCTAGACTTGGTGGCTCATGTTTGTAATCCTAGCACTCTGAAGGCTGACAAGCTCCAAGCCAACCTGGGCTACACAGTGAGGCCCTGTCTCAAAAGAATTAAGAAAGAAGGGAAAGTGGAGAGAGGGGAGGGAGGAAGCGAAAGAGAGAGAAAGGGAGAGAGAAGAGTTACTATGGCCCATTGAGTTGGCTCAGTGGGTACAGCACTTGCTGACAAGCCTGAGGCCTGAGGACCTGAGTTCAATCCCCAGGACCTGCTTGGAGGAGAGAACCAACTCCCTAAGTTGTTGACTTCTATGCATGCACAGTGACACACATCGTACATACACATACAGAGTAATAATAAAGAGAAAAGAGTTATCGGGGACTGGAGAGTTGGCTCAGTGGTTAAGAGCACCGGCTGCTCTTGCAGAGGATCTGGGTTCGATTCCCATTCCCAGCACCTACATGGCAGCTAACAACCATCTGTAACTCCAGTTCCAGGGGATCTGATGCCATCCTCTGATCTCTGAGGGCATTGCACAACACGGGTGCACTTACATACATGCAAGCAATACATTCACACATAAAAAATCATAATAATAAAATATTTTTAAAAGAGCTTAGATCCTGGGCAGGCAGTCATGACTGCGTTTGTGTGTGTATGTGTATGAATGTATTGCCTGCAGTTATGTAAGTGCACCCGTGCCATGCACTGTTGAAGGAGGCCAAAGAGGGCTTTAGATCCCTTGGAATTGAAGTTATGGGCTGTTGTTAGCACCATGGGGTGCTAGAAACCTGTGCAAGAGCAGGCAGTGCTCTAGCCCCATGACGGCTTTTTTAAAAAAATTTGGTATGTGTGTATACACATGAGTGTCACAGCACGCATGTGGAGGTTAGAGGATAACTTGTAGGAGTTCTCTCTATCATGTGGATCCTGGGATCAAACTCAGGCTTAGTGGCAATCATCTTTATGGACTGAGTCATCTTTGGCCTCTGACGGTTTTTTTCAAGACCGTCTCCTATAGCCCTGGGTACACTACATAGCCAAGGATAATCCTGAACTACCTAACCTTCTAAAAACCCTTTAAGAGTCAGTGACCTATGGCTGGGAAGCCCCTGGATTATAGAGTCTGACAGCCCTGGTTTGGCCTTGACTTGACCACCTGGCCTACACTAGGCATAGACCCATTTTGTGTTTCTTTAGGAGTAAAATGGGTGAAAATTAACAAGGCTACTCAGGACTGCCCTGAGCCCTGGAGGTCCTGGCAGGTTGAGGTACTTGAGGTAGCCCGACCCTGTGCCTGACAGGCACCCTCTTTGACCCCCCAGACACAGCTGTGATCAGCCCCCAGGACCCCACACTCCTCATCGGTTCCTCCCTTCGAGCCACGTGCTCTGTGCACAGCGACACACCTGGGGCTACGGCCGAGGGTCTCTACTGGACCCTCAACGGGCGCCGCCTGCCTCCTGAGCTGTCCCACCTGATTAACGCCTCTACCCTGGCCCTGGCCTTGGCCAACCTCAACGGGTCCAGGCAGCAGTCAGGGGACAACCTGGTGTGTCACGCCCGAGACGGCAGCATTCTGGCTGGCTCCTGCCTCTATGTCGGCTGTAAGTGCCCCCACAGGACACCCAGTGATTATTGGTCTTGGGATGCAGCGACAGCTTGTGGAGAGGGAGCATGAGTCATGGGGTCCTCTGTGGTCACACTGTTACCCACCGCATCTCTAGAGATAGCTGTGACCACATTCTGTTGCCAGTTGCCCACCCCCATCTCTCTGCTACCTTCTTTTCTTGCAGTGCCCCCTGAGAAACCCTTTAATATCAGCTGCTGGTCTCGGAATATGAAGGACCTCACATGCCGTTGGACACCTGGTGCTCACGGGGAGACCTTCCTGCATACCAACTACTCTCTCAAATACAAGCTGAGGTCTGTACCCAGCCCTGGCCTTGCTGTGTGACCTGGGGCAGATACTTGCCTTCTCTGAGCCCTTTTGTACCCCTGGGGCTGTTGGAACCAGACCTGGGGACTAAGAAGGGATTTTCTGTCCTGCAGGTGGTATGGTCAGGACAACACCTGTGAGGAGTACCACACCATGGGGCCACACTCCTGCCACATCCCCAAAGACCTGGCCCTGTTCACCCCCTATGAGATCTGGGTTGAGGCCACCAACCGCCTAGGCTCGGCTCGCTCTGACGTGCTCACACTGGATGTCTTGGACGTGGGTGAGCCCCCAGTGTCCACTAGGTCCCCTGCCCCAGGCCAAGTAGGGGGTCTGTTCCCCCAGCCATGGTAGCTGCAAAGAGGGAAGCGCTCTGCAATGTGAAGGCCTTTCCTTCAGAAAACACCTGGCCTGGCTACCCTCCCCCTACAGCCCAGGTGTTCAGGAGAGGACCCTAGGGGGAGCAGGGAGGGGAGCCCAGGTCAGGAGGCGCCCCAGGAAGCTGAGGCCTGAAGCTGGGGGGTGAGGGTGGGAGGCAGGAAGTGGCTGATCCCTGAGCAGAATTGGGCCTAATCTAATTAGGGTGCTTCCCAGCCCTGAAGCAGGCCTGGGCCTTTTAACCCTTTCAGTGCCTCACCAAGGACTGGAGCAGGAAAGATCAGCCTGTGTCCCCTCCTTGGGCATCCCTTAGCCTTCACCCTCACCTCCCAACCCACCTGCCTCTCTGGGCATCCTGGAGACCTTCTAACCTTGTCCTTCCCTATGGCTAGGCAGCCCTGCTCTGGTTTGGGTAATGTGGGAGACAGCAGACATGGGCATGGGGTGGGGATCCTAGGCAGGAGCCAGATAGCACCCCAAGGTGGGGTAAAACATATCAAAGTTTGTCATCCTGGCACTCAGGAGGCAGGCAAAAGGATCACAAGAGTTGAGGCCAGCCTGGGCTACAGAGCAAGACCCTACCCTCTCTCAATAGTCAGCTTGGGACTTGATGCTCCAAGAGAAAAACCCAGGGCTCCACAGGTGCTGGACAATGCTCAAAGGTGCAGGATGCTGTTCACACATTGCTGGGTGCTTCTCACACATGCAGGGTGAGCACTATACCGCTGAGTCCAGTCCCAGCCTGGAAGCACTTGCTGCTCTTGTAGCCCCTGACGTCTCTCCATCAGAGATGATATTGGTGATAACAGCTCACATTAGATGAATGCTACTGGCTGCCTAGATCTCCAAAGTGTTGAATGACAGTGATCTCTCAGGCTGGTGTGGAGAAAGCAGAGGGAGAAGACAGTGAATATCTCGAGTGTCCCAGAAGGCACTGTGACTTGGACACATGACTGTGAGATCTGTCTCCAGACAATCCTGACCAAGAAGAGCCCCCAGAGCCATGCATGGTGGTGCACACTTAATTCCAGCACTCAGGAGGCAGAGGCAGGCAGATCTCTGTGAGTTCAAGGCCAGAGAGGTCTGCATAGTGAGTTCAGCAGTGATCAGCTCTGTTCTTCCCGCAGTAACCACGGACCCACCACCAGACGTGCACGTGAGCCGAGTTGGGGGCCTGGAGGACCAGCTGAGCGTGCGCTGGGTCTCACCACCGGCCCTCAAAGATTTCCTTTTCCAAGCCAAGTACCAGATCCGCTACCGTGTAGAGGACAGTGTGGACTGGAAGGTGCCCACCCCTCCCTGACCCCGCCTGAGTCCCTGCCTGTCCCACCCCCTCCAGCTGACTCTGCCCTCACTGCACAGGTAGTAGATGATGTCAGCAACCAGACTTCCTGCCGCCTGGCAGGCCTGAAGCCTGGCACTGTCTACTTTGTCCAAGTGCGTTGCAATCCCTTCGGGATCTACGGATCAAAAAAAGCTGGAATCTGGAGTGAATGGAGCCACCCCACTGCTGCCTCCACCCCTCGAAGTGGTGAGCACCTGGCCAGGGCAGGGGTGGGAAGCAGGGAAGCCCCAATCCAGCCTTGTCTCCATTATTTTCTTTTTGAGACAAGGTCTTATATAGCCCAGGTTGGCCTTGAACTCACAATATAGACCTTAACTCCTGATGCTCCTGCTTCCACCTTCTGAGTGGTGGGACGGCGGGCGTAGCCACCACCCAGGCTTCAGTAATCTCGTTGGTAGAGAGCGGTCTCACACTTGTGGCCCCTGGATCCTATTTAAACTGTCATTTGGTGTGAGGGGTGGGGAACAACAGTTTAACCTGTTTGAAGAGATCTGAAAACAAGTAATTTTTCACTCAAATACCCTAGATTTCCTAGAAAAATTATTTTATTATTTTTAATTTATTTTTTATTTTTTTGGTCTTTTTGAGACAGGGTCTCCTTGTAGCCCCAGCTGGCCTGGAACTTGCTATGTAGATCAGGCTGGCCTTGAACTCACCTGCCTCTGCCTCCCAAATGCTGGGATTAAAGGCATGAGCCACCATGCCTGGCTCTTATTTTTATTTGTTTTATTATCTTTTTGTCTTTTTGAGACAGGGTCCTCTCTGTAGTCCCAGCTGACCTGAACTATGTAGACCAGGCTAGCCTTGAACTCACAACGATCCACCTGCCTCTGCCTCCCAAATGCTATGACTAAAGGCATGTGTCACCACACCTGGCCTTATTTTTATTTTTTAATGGGTATTAAATGTATTTCCTGCATGTATATGTGTGCTCTGTTTGCAGTGCTCTCAGAGTTCAGAAGTGGGCGTTGGATTCCCCTGGAACTGGAGTTACAGATGGTTGTTAGCTACCATGAGGGTGCTGGGAATCCAACTTGGGTTCTCTGCAAGAGCAGTCAGTACTCATAACTGCTGAGCCATCTCTCCAGCACCAAAATTAATTTTATATAAAATAGAACATGACAGCCAAAATTGTAATGGTCACTGGCCAGGTCTGGTGGTGCATGCCTTTAATCCCAGAACTTGGGAGCTAGAGGCAGGCAAATTTCTGTGAATTTAAAGCCAGCCTCATCTACAGTAGTGAGTTCCAGGCCAGCTGGGGCTACAGGGAGACCCTGTCTCAAAAAGACACAAAAACAAAAAATTGTATGGTCTCAAAGAAGAGGGTGCCCTCTCTCATCCACCTACCCCCCAGCCCCATCAAAGGATAGAACACAGGATCTTGTACATACTAGGTGGGCCTCTATCTCTGAGGCATGACCCCAGCCCCTCACTGGAGAATTTTAGGCAGGAACTCTACCCTGAGCCACACCCCAAACTCACCGTGTATTCAGATAGCCTAGGCTGCCTTAATGTTTTGGGATCCCACTGCTTGAGTCTCCTGAGTACTCAGTGAGCCCCCACCTCCTGTTTTCAGAGTCCGTCCTCATCCAGGTGGGAAGGCCTGAAGTTGAAGTATGCTGTCCTATAGACTTCCTGAGCCCATAATCCTGCATTCCCTTTCATGAAAACTGTTGTCTGGCCTTAGTTTCCCCATCTGTCAGGTTTAGGAGCACAGCCTTGAGGCAAATGGCCACCTTAGTATTTTCAGGCAGCAGGGAAGTAGACTCCCAAGCCCCACCCATCATGTGACCCCCCCCCCAAGGGAGAGTAAATTTTCTCCCTTTAGGATACGGAGCCCTGGGTGCTCTCGCTCTCTCTCCTGTCTGTCTGTCGTCTGTCTGTCTCTCTCTCTCTCTCAAACATGCACTTCAGTTGGTGACAATGGAACGATAGAGAAACTGAGGCCCAGAGTCCCAGAGGCAGGGAGGGTCAGATCCAGGCTCCAGCCAGATCCCCAGCCCCCATCCGGGCCCCTCCAGGTTCTGAGCTGGGTGGGAGGGAGTGCAGCCGGGAGGGGCTGGAGCCTTGGCCCTTGCTCGTGCCCAGCACCTGCGATTCTTGCACGGGAGCCAGGAGGCGGCTGTGTCCGCCCTGGAGACTAGAGAGGCCGGGAGTTGGGGGGGGGCAATGGGGGCGGTGGGGCCCGAGGCCGTGCCAGGGCCTGTCAGCGAGTCCCCAGCTTTATTTATGACGTGAGGCCGATGTCCTTATCCGCCGGCCTTCTGGGGGCTGGCTGTGGCTGGGGGCTGGACCCACAGGCGGGCCTCCCACCTGGCCTCCCAGCCCTATCCTTGTCACACCCGATTTGGCTCCCAGGCTCATCTTGGGACCCTCCTCTTGGGCTCTGCTTGCTGTCTGTCTCCCTCCATTTCCGTCACCCGCTCTCCTTCAGTCTGTCCCCCCCCCCTTTTTTTTCTTCCTTTTTCACATAATTAAAACACTTTTAAAACATTTGTGTGTATGATGCGTATATGCCGTGGAACTCGTGTGAAGGTCAGAGGACAACGTTTGGAAGTCGGTTCTCCTTCCACCACACCAACACTGTTTTTTTTTGTTTGTTTGTTTCTTGAGATGGTCTCCTGGCAATCCTCCCTTAGCCCTCCAAGTGCTGGGGCGACCGGCCTGCATCACCGTGCTGCAGGGCGGGGGCTCCTCCTTTTCTTGGGGATACAACCCAGAACCTCTGCATTCTGTCTTGGGCGCCTTGCTCTTTGTCCCAGCCGCTGGGTCTCCAGTCTCTTTCCTTCACTCCATTTCCGACTGAATACCTTGTCTAGTCCCCCACTGGCTTCATCTCCCTCGCTTGTCCCCATCGGATCCTGTGTCCATCTCAACTGTACTGACTCCCGCCTGCATCCCGGCCCCGCCCACACCTGACCCCAGTTCCTTGGCACGCCGCGGGGCCCATGCTGAGAGGCCACAGCCCTCCGCGCGCCCCCTGCCGGCCTCGCCCCGACACTGCCCCTCCGCCCCTTCTAGAGCGCACGGGCCCGGGCGGCGGGGCGTGCGAGCCGCGGGGCGGCGAGCCCAGCTCGGGCCCGGTGCGGCGCGAGCTCAAACAGTTCCTCGGCTGGCTCAAGAAGCATGCGTACTGCTCCAACCTCAGCTTCCGCCTGTACGACCAGTGGCGCGCTTGGATGCAGAAGTCACACAAGACCCGAAACCAGGTAGGAAAGTGGGGGAGGCGCGTGGGAGTGCGGGGAGCTGGGGAGGAGCCACGATAGGGAGGACAGGAACACAGGTGTGCAACCTCCACGACTCTGCACTCTTCTTTCCAAGCACAGGACGAGGGGATCCTGCCCTCGGGCAGACGGGGCACGGCGAGAGGTAAGGGGGGCTCAGGTGGAAGGGGGGAGTCTGGAATCAGGCAGCTTGGCAGACCACCCTCACCCTTAATGGAATCCCCTCCTCTTAACACTCACTGCACATTCACCCTATGTAGCATGTATCAGCACCCACTGCATACCAGCCGCATCTGCAGGACATGATCAAACCAAGGCCCTGAGAGGGACAGCATCCTATTGACCATCACACAACTGAGTGTGCCCAGCTGTTTAGGGCCTGAATGCTGACCCTTCCCAGGGTCCAGGCTTAGTCTGGCCATTTCTGCCCACAGGTCCTGCCAGATAAGCTCTGAGAACAGGGGCCACCCTTCCTTGCTGTATGGAGACCCAGAGGCTCATCCCAAACAGGCCCCTCTGTGCTGTCACTTTAGGGCTTGGAAAACCATCATTGCAGGTGCCCGGAGCTCCCTAATGACTTTGGTCACCCAGGGCCCCTTCAAGGAGTCTCTAAATAAAGGAGCTGTTCAGGTCCTCTGATGGTGAAGGTGTTTGGGACCTGTGGAATCTGGGGGGGACTGGAACCCACACCTCCAAATTTCAGACCTACTTGCCAGGATATGCCAGAATTGGTTCTGAACTCCTTTGAGGGCATGGTTTAAAAACCTGTCAGGGGACACAAGTCTTCCACCTCTCCTCGTTACGCTGGGGGGGGATGCTCCCCAGGACCAGTGGTCCCAGCACCCCAAAACTCAAGAGCTGTGGAGGAAGTTCTTTATTTCAGGAGGCGCATCAGAGGGTCGGCAGCTCAGGGCATGGCCTCAGCCAGCTGGCGGTTGGGGCTGGGCTGGACGCCACAGGCCTCTTTTCCCATCTTCCTTGAGGTCCCTGGGGAGCCGCCCTCACTCGGCAGCTTCGGCATCGGCATCAAACCTGAGTTCCTGCAGAACCTCGCTGATCGCCTCCATGGTTTTAATTACCCTACAAGAGCGGATGGGAACTATAAATAAAACCCAGATGGGGTGAATTAGCCGTGCTGTGCAGCTAGCTGGGAGCGGGGCTGTGGCGAGCCCCGGGCCCTCCTGCCTGCCGCCAAACCTCAAGCCTGGCCTGGGAGCACACCCAGGAGGAGGGGTGGCTTGGTGGGTCACAGAGGGCTCATGGGAAAGACTGGTGGGGGGAGGGGTGTTGGAGCACATGCTAGTGGCTGGGAGAGGTGGTGGGCGGTCTGGTGCACTCCCGGCAGGAAGCGTGACCTGTTCAAGCGGGCAGCTGATGTGCATAGCCCACAAGGCGTGCGCAGTCCTGGCACAGCACCCCAGTCACACCTGTCAATCTAAGGTGTCAAGCAGAGAGGCCCAAAGTACATACTTTGTTTTCAACTGGTGCATTTTTTCAGGCTCCTCTTGTTCAGACATTTCTGGTGTTCCCATAAGCTGCAGCAGCGCCACCTGGAGGGGTAAATGGTAGTTACAGTGGACAGGCGCCAGTCTCTACCTCCCCAATAGGCAGGGGTGGGGGCGCGTGTATGTGTGTGTCCGTCCGTCCTCAGGAGCAGAACTTGATGTGGGAGGTATCTGGGTTTACAGCAAAAGGCATGTGGGTGTGGTCTGAGAAAGTCCCGGATTTGCGACAGAGGTGTGGAAGGCAGGGCCCCCATCCCAGCAGCAGGGCAAGTTAGAATTCCAGAGTGGAAGTAGATATATGTCCTGACAGCAGGGATTGGAGTCGAGTTCTGGGAATTCCAGTCCCAATTGTGATAACTTCGCTTGGACAATCCCCCATATGATTGGCTACATGAACAGGGTAGGAGGTGCCTTGGGATCCCCGGGTGGAAGAGTTCCAGGGCCTAGGAAGTCTTCCATTGGCCGGAGGGAGTTACCTGCGAGTTCCTTAGGTGGTTCCCGAAAGGTGGAGAGGAACCAGAAACGGCCACCCCGGGTAGAACTTGGGGCGGATCCCAGGGTTCCTGGGTATTTAGCAGTAACTACGGACTGGCATAATTAAGCTAGAACTAGGAAGAATCAGCAGCGAAATAAAGCTAGGTGTGTGGAGGGGAGGATGGGGTTGGGGTGACCGGGAATCGGAGTGGGGCCCAGGCAGCCCCGAGGTGGTGGCCTCACCGAAGCCAGGCGAGTCTGCTCCAGTTCCTGCAGGCTGCGCACGTGGCTGGCCAGCAGGGGCTGCGCACGTGGTCCTGCTAGCTCCGCTTCCACAGCCAACACTTCCCGCGAGGCGGCAGCGAAGGCCTGGGTCACTTCGTTCACAGTGCTTCGGTAGCGCGGGAAGTTGTAATGCGGGCCGCTGCTCAGGTACAGCCGGTGGGCTCTGCAGGGGCGGGGGCAGGGGAGGTTCTGAGGCCACATCCCCACAAGGCCCTTCCCCTGGGTAGTCAACCTTGAGCGTCAGTGCTTGGAGGACCTGCGGTCAGGACAATGCCTGACCAGAGGCTGGTCAAGGGACCCGGGTAGGTCCATCTCTGAACTTGGAAAAAAGGGGGACTCTGATGGCGAGTCCTGTCAGTTGAAGACCAGTCTCTAGTCACGCCCCGGCTTGGTCCCGCTCCTCCCTAACCGCACCCCTGATCTTGCTGGGTTCTTCCAGGCTCCGCCCCTGCTCCCCAAGGCTACGCCCCAGGTACCGCCTCGCTCCACGTTGGGCCACACCCGGACTCCTAAATTACCGCCCCGCGTCCCTATTCCGGGCCTCGGCCCGCACTCACTCCTCCAGGCGGCGGAAGGCCTGCTCGCGCTGGTCCTGCAGCTCCTGGATCCGGCGCACCAGAGTAGCGACTGGCGCGTCTTTCTGCGGGCGGCACCGGATATGAGGCGGGAACCCCCAGGCCCGCGCCGCCGCCCCGCGCCCTCCCCGCTCGCGCCCACGCTCACCCAAGCCCATGCGGGCTCCTCGCGTTCAGAAGTTCCAGGGGCGTCCGTAGCAGCGGGCTCCGCGGGGCCGGTGGTAAGCATGACTGCTCCGCCTGGCCGGGCTCGGGACAGCTTGCCGCTCCCCCTGCCGGCCCGGAGGTCCGAAACCGCCCTGTACCCGTACCCGCCCCGGAACTCGGGTTCTGCACACCGTACCAGCACCAAGGCCGGGTTTGCAAGTATCCTTGGGTCTCAACACCTCAGCCAGGGTCACAATTGGGAGTTTTAGTTCACAGGAGCGAGGCATTAAGTGTTTGTGCACAGCTGACATTAAAGCAGCTGGACTCCAACGGACGGTAAACTGGTTCAAAGACCCTGGGGCGCGACTGGGGCAGAGAAAGGAGGGCATGTCCCAAAGGGCTTTGGAAGCACCCCCACCCCGGACACGCCAAAAGGATGGTGTGGAACTTGCTCAGCCCACCAGGTTTCACTGCAGCGGTGCTGGCTGTTTGGGCCAGGCTACCTTGCTGGGCTTACCTCCCAGAGCTGACAAAATGGGCTGGGGACCTGGCTCAATGGGAGCAGTGTGTTGACCTAAACAAAGACTCAGGCAACTAACACTGTGCAGACAACTGCTTCAGGCAGCCCCTCAAACCAAAGGTTGATGTTGCTGTGTGCCTGACATTCACTGAAAATGGATAAATGGACTGTCTGGGCAGCAAGCCCCCAAAACACTGACAGTGACTTCTGGCTTATACAGACACACACATACACCAGAAACAGGTGTGTAACACTGTGGTGGGCCTCCCCACCCACCCAGACCCTTAGATTACTAGTCTTCCCAGAGATGGGCTGCCACTGCACACTTCCAAGCTAGCTGGCCTGTCCCCACCTGAATCTCCCTCACACTTGCATGGTTAAACCCTTTACCACTGGGTCCCCAGTCTAGCCCAAGCTGGTTCAGCACAGTCCCCAACTTGTTAGCCAGAATGATGGACAGGACCCTAAGCTGTGTCATCTGAGCCCTCAGGAGGCTGAATCAGAAATGAATTCCAGCACTGCCACAAAGGACATGGAACCTTCCAGGCCCCCCTGAACAGAAAAGCCACGCAGACAGCAGTTGCTGCTCCAGTCTACAGAGGGGACTTTTATTAGGGTCCCTGGGGTCATGCCCCACAGGCTGCCTCAGCTCTACTTGACCTTCTTCTTAGGGCGCAGGTTGTTGGTGTGGCCACACTTCTTCTTGCGGCAGTTGACAGCACGGGGGTGCAGGCGAGCATAGCACCTGAGGGGACAGAGGAACAGCTTAGCTGGTGAGGCTCCTGTCCCCTTCCCCCAACCCCCAGGTGCCCCAAGGATCTTACTTGCGGCAGATCATCTTGTCACAGTTGTACTTCTGGGCAAGCTGGCGAAGAGATGGCTCAATGATGCCACCTCGCAGGCGCAGCACCAGATGCAGGGTGGACTCTGGAAGGGGAGGACCACCACTGAAACCAGCAGTTGGGGGACTGGACCCTCACAAGAACCTTGCAGAACCTCAGGTTTGCGCCTCAGAAGAGGGCTTCACCTCTTGCACACTGGGAAGAAGGGACTGAAACCATTTAAAAAAAATATTTGTTTGGGGGGTCTGTCTGTGGATATGGGTGTTGCACATTTGTGTGTGATCTGAACCCAAGTCCTTTCAAGAGCAGCAAGCTGAACTTAAAAAAAAAAAAAAGACTTATTTTAGCTGGTTGTGGTGGTGCGTATCTTTAATCCCAGCACTTGGGAGGCAGAGGCAGGCGGATCTCTGAGTCCTAGGCAGCCTGGCTAGAACTGAGACCTGCTCTCACAAACAAAAACAAGGGCTTAACCAAGTAAAGGCACTTGCCCAGGCCTGACAACCTGGACACAATTCTTGGAGGTGAGGAGGGAGGGCAAGAACCCTCCCCACAGGTTGTCCCCCTCTTCTGCTAAAAAAAGAATTAAGAGTAGCTGGACGTGGTGGTGCATGCCTTTAATCCCAGTAGGGAGAGGCAGGTGGATCTCTGTGAGTTCAAAGACAAGCCTGGTCTATATAGAGAGCCATCTGGGCTACAGGGAGACCCTGTCTCAACCCCCCCGCCCCAGCAAGGGACTGGAATACGGTACCTAGACCAGACTTCTCTTAACCTACCCCATCCTCATTTTTTCTCTTGTGCTTAGGATAGCCCAGGTATCTCTGCAATGCTAACCAACCAAGACTCCCTCCCCCAAATCCTTTAGTGGCTCCCAAGTACAGGGTGGCAGGCTCTCCCTACCTTTCTGGATGTTGTAGTCGGACAAGGTCCGACCATCCTCCAGCTGCTTTCCAGCGAAGATCAGACGCTGCTGGTCAGGAGGGATGCCTGGGGAGGGACAGAGGCTGCTGCCAAGACCCCCATCTCACATGCGAAACTCCCAGTCTCCCACATGCTGACTCCCTGCTCTGAGCCATACTGCCGGCCTGCAGGGACTCACCTTCCTTGTCCTGGATCTTGGCCTTGACATTCTCGATGGTGTCACTGGGCTCGACCTCGAGAGTGATGGTCTTGCCAGTCAGGGTCTTCACGAAGATCTGCATCTTGGCGTCTACTGGGCAGGGGAAGAGACTCTGGTGATGTGTCTGCACATGCCCAGTACCGGAGGGCCACTTCATCCTGCACCTAGATGCTGAAGCACCTGTTTTTGTCCCCAAGGCCTCAGCAAGCATGCTCAGGTAGCATTCCAGCTCTGCTGGAGACCCCAGTCTGAGAGTGTGGAGTTAACTACCTCAGCATTCCTCCTACCGGGTCTCCCTACAATCCACTCAACACGGGGTGGGACAGGAACTCCGGCCCTGTCCAAGCCCCTCTCTCTCAACCCTTCAACTCCAAGACAGAACACCCAACACTTGCTCTTCTGAATGAGGGCCACATTCACTCACGAGGTAACCTAGTCTGGGCCCCAGCTCCTAATTCCACCACGTCCACCTCCCAAGCAGACCGGGTTCCTGTCATTTTGCAGACAGGGCAATACAAGGAATACAGGCTAGCTTTAAACTTCCTATGTTGGGTAGTCCAGGCTGGCGCCAAACGCCTTATGTATCTCGGGGTTAACGCCAAACTCCCTCTGTAGCCTAGGCAGGATCTTAACGCCTTTCACTACGTATGTGCAGTCCAGGCTGGACTCAAGTATTCAATCTGTAACCAAGGTTGGCTTTGACCTTGCTATGTAGCCCTCCTGGAAAACTCATGTATCTCAGGCTAGACTCTAAACTCCCTCAACCTGTAACGCAAGCCAGCCAGCTCTGACCTTGCTAGGTAGCCCTGGCTGACACCAAACGCCCTGTGTTTCTCAGGCTAGACCAGAATCCGCTCTGTGGCTCAAGTTAGGACTGAACTTCCTGTACAGCTCGGGCCCAGGTGCTGGGATGCCGGGCATACCCGGCGCTCGATCAGGCCTCTCAGGTGCTGCGGGACGACCCTGGCGAGGCCCGGGAAACGCCCGCGGTACTTCAGACATGAGCGAGAGAGCGGGTGCGACACCCCGCTCACACCTCGCCCGTCCCCGCCCCGCCCCAGCCATCACCACCGCGGCTACACTACCGCCGCCACCTACCCGCGCGGCCACCTCGTTGAAGAGAAAGAGGGCGGCGGAACCGGAAACACCTGAGTCTCTGCCCAAGCGCCTGCGCACTAAGGACGCCGCGCGCATACGTCACAATCCGCGCAGTGCATCGCTCACGGCCCAGGCTCCGTCCGCTACCGTGTTGGGTGGCGGGAAGCGCCCTGCGGAGCCCGCCGTCAACTCTTGAGAGACGGCGGCGCGGCGGGAGCTTCTGACTTCAGCTGTCAGTTAGACTTGGCTTATTTCCGTAGCCAGTGTGGGAGTGCCTGCCTGTCACCTGAGCACGTAGGTGGCGGCGGAGGCTGGACTGCTGCAGGTACAAGCCAGCTGCATTGGAATGAGACCAATTCAGAAAACAAAACCCGCCAGACTTAATGGCGCACACCTTTAGTCCCAGCACGCTGGAGGCAGATCAGGCGGATCGAGGTGGAGACCAGCAGCCTGTGCTCTTCACTCCAGCCCCGATTATTATTTTTTAGACAGGATCTCAACTACATAGCCCAGGCTGGCTTTGAACTCAGTGATCCACCTCACCAGTGCTCTGCTCCTGCCCAAAATATTTCTTCGTTTATATACTTTAGAGACCTATTTTGCCGGGCGTGATGCTGCACGCCTTTAATCCCAGCACTCGGGAAGCAGAGGTAGGAGGATCTCTGGGAGTCCGAGGTCAGCCTGGTCTATATAGTGAGTGCCAGGGCAACTGGGGCTACAGGGAGACCCTGTCTCAAAAATGCCAAAAAAAAAAAACCAACAACAACAAAACCCCATTTTATATGCATCGATGTTTTGCATACTATATTTGTCTGCATAAGCCCGGGAAGGCCTGAAGAGGGCATTGGATCCCGTGGACCTGGAGTTGTATAAAGTTATTCGCTGCCATAGGGGTGCTTGGAACTGAACCCAAGTCCTGAGCCATCTCTCCAGGCCCGCCTGACTTACTTGTTTTTATTAATATTATTTTGCAATGCTGGAGATAGAGGTCTGTGCATGCTTGGCTGATCTGCCAGCTAATAACAATCCATAACTCCAGTTTCCAGGAATCTGATGCCTTCCGGCCTTTGCATACACATGGTGCACAAACACTCAGGCATATACGCATAAAATAAATATTTAGGGACTGGAGAGGGAGCGATGGCTCCTCTTGCAGAGGAGCTAGGATCCATTCCCAGCATTCACATGATGGCTAATAACCTATGGGGAGCCAATGCCCTCTTCTGATCTTTGTGGCATTACATGAAAAAGGTGCACTTACATGCAAGCAAGACACTCATGCTCATAAAGTAAAATAATAAAAATAAAACCGTTACTCCAGGACTGGTAAGATGGTTCAGTGGGTAAAGCACTTGCCATGCAAGCCTGAAGACCAGAGTTCCAATCCCCTGAACCCACATAAAAGCCACACACAGTAACGTGAGTCTGCAGTCGCAGTGCTTTGTCAGGATGGAGTCAGAGCACTCCATGTCACCAGCAAACCTGTGTAGTCAGCAGGGAATAAGAGACCATTTCATGCAAGGTGGAGGGTGAGGACTGGCCTCAAGGTCGTCCCCCCAGCACAGGTGCTGTGAGGTCTAACCAGTGGCAATCGTGTCTAGAGTTTGGCTGCCAGCTCTGGCAGCGATGTCTGGCTAAGATCAGAACTTGCTGTGTTCTGGGCTTTGAGACGCAAAGACAGAAGCCAGCCTCATCTAGGCCAAGTCTTCCCTTTTTGATAACAGAGTCTTTTTATTGATAACTTCCCAACGACATCTGTAAACATCGGGTACAAAAATATTCCACTAAACTCTGTTTTCTAAGTGACTTGGCCAGCTCTGTGGAGGCCCCAGGAGATGCCTGGTGGACTGTTGGGGTCCACAGCTCTGTTCAGAGAAACAGGGAGTCCCCAGGCTCAGGAATAAGAGGCTTGCCCTGCCTCCATGTCAAATCTACCTGTCCCAGAAACCATGACATAACAAGAAAAAGCACTCCACGAAAGGGAGGGGGTACCAGGATGAGCAAGTACAAAGTACTGGGGTCTCAGCTACACTGAAACTTCCCACCAAAAGGACATGGGGGACATCTGGCTTTGGTCTGAGGGAACCTTAAAAGCACTGTTCAGAGCTAGCCTGAGGCTGAGCTTGGCAAAGATCCCTGTTCCCAGCCCCACAGTCCTGACTGGGGTGGGTGTCCTGGCATGGTGAAGGGGCCTCATTCTAAGGGGAGTAGGAGCAGGAATTAGAGATTTTGCCTCAGGAAGGAGCTCCAGATGTCAGTGGAGCGGCAAAGCTGACTAATCATGACTCCTGGGGACAGACACCACCTCTAAGAACCTTTCTGGGGTTCGAGGGAGGGGCTACTCGCCCTGGGTCTCCTCCTCATCTATCTGGCTGTGGCCGTTGATGACAGGGGAGCCAGGCCGCATGTTGGACAAATCCTCAAAGCCAGGGCTGAGGGACGGTGAGACAGTATCAGGGCTGGTGTCACAGGAGCCCGTGCTCTGCTCAGAGGTGGCGATGGTGGTGGTAATGCTGGGCGGGATGGGGTCTTCATCTTCATCCTCCAGGAAGGACGCCTCAGGGGTGTCTGGGAAGGAGGCCCAGGGGACTGGTCAAGTCACCTTGCAGGAATCAGGCACCTCTTGTGAGTGGGGCCCTAATGGTCCTTCCACCCATGGGGGCATTGTGTGACCCACTTTATAGAAGGGGAGAAGGAGGCCTAGGCAGGTGGGAGGCATCTCATCAATGGAGAAAGACTTAAGACTCAAGCTCCGGGGTGAGGCTGAGCTTGCTGTACACATGCCCACAGTCCTCTCAGCACTTGGGAGGCTGAGGCAAAAGGATTGCAATGAGTTTGAGGCCAGCCTGGGCTACAAAGTGACCTGTCTCAAAACTTAAGAATTGAGAACAAAGCAGGGTGTGGTGGTGTACACTCGGGAGGCAGAGGCAAGCAGATAACTGTGGGATCAAGGCCAGCCTGTTCTATATAGTGAGCTCCAGGCCAGCTGGGGTTACAGGAGACACTGTCTCAAAACAATACAAAAAATCTCAGTGGGATGAAGATACAGCAAATGACTCAGCAGATGAGGTATGCTCAGGCTTGGTGAAGACCCTCTGAAATGTTGAGTCACAAGTGGTATTGCAGCCACAAGAGCTGTGAACTTGATTTTTCCCCATCCTTTCTTACGTCACCCCCCAGATAACATCACTTCCTCTGTGGAACTCAGTTTCCCCTCTGTGAAATGGGATGCTCAGTCTCCACCTCACAGATAATTGTGGGTGACATGAGAACTGTTACCATTGATCCCTTCAACCTCCCCAGGAAGACACTGCAGCCTTCACTGCCCCAGTGGCCTCTCCAGCCACTGCCATGGGCCTGGGATTAGGTCAGCTGCCCAGATGGCCTTCGGCAGGCAGCCCTGGGTGGAGGGCACATGGGCACTTGAGACACTTACGGCTGAAGGCCTCTGGGTGCTGCCGGGCCAGCTTCCCCTTCAGTGTCCTGTGGAAAGGGGGGACAGGCAGGGATGAGCCACCAGGCAAGTGCACTACAGAGCTAACCCTCAGGAGTCCTGCGGCCCTAGGATCTGCCTGTCACCCTCTGTCTCTTGTGCCTATCTGTCTGTCTCTGATGTCTTTCTTTGACTCTTGTGTCTCTGTCTGGTGTCTCTCTGTATGTGTCTCAAATCGCTAACACTCACTCATTACTCATATGTACCAGGCACTAGTTCAGGTGCGTCTTGTATCTGTCTGTCTCTGTCTCTGTCTGCCTTGTGTTTTGCTTTCTGTATCTTTGTCTCCTTTGTCTCTGTCTCATGTGTTTCCTTGTATGTGTCTGTCTCTAGAACTCCCAAGTAGACCTATACCACCCACCTTGCTGTCACCTTACTTACCCACAAGCTGGGGGCAGCTTCCTACCCACCCTAGGCTGCCACATCCTAGGCTAACTTCCCAGCTGTGCCCCTCTATCCTAGGCAGGGGCTCCCTGGGGAGGCAGAAGGTGCAGGCTGGGGACTTCGGCAGCTATACCCACAGTCTGACACCCATAAACCTGTACGTACAAGAGGCAGATGTGCTCTACTGTGCTGCTTTTGGAATTTTTTCTATTTGGCTTGTGTTGTGTTCCCATGTAGGGCACTATGCATGCACATGTGTAACCAGAGGTCAACATGAGGTGTCTTCCTCAGCCCTCACACTTGATCAGCAGTCACACTGAGTCATCGCCCTGGTTCTTACTTGGCTTTTTGGGAGAGTCTTGCTGCGTACTTCAGTCTGGCCCTGAATTCCCCATGTGGTCCCTGCTGGCCTGAAGTCCAACTCTAAGAGTCTCAGCCTGAGTACTGGGTTCACAAAGGTGTGTCCAAACCATGGGGCTTTAGCATCTCTCTACTGGCTGCTGCTGGCCCTTCCTCAGGTCAGGCACCATAAATGTTTATGGAGGATGGCAGTGGGGTCTTCAAGGCACAGCCCTGGCCTGACTACAGTCAGCGGGCCACTGAAACAAGCATCCCAGCTGGGCCCCAGCTGTGACTGACCTCTTTCCTTCCTGGGGAGTTGGGACACATGCAACTGGCTATTAGCTCTCAGAGTTCCTGCCTACCCCCATCACCTGCACAGCCAGCCTGGTGTTGTGCCCCAGAAACATGCTTATATGAAGAATTATAAGAGATGGGGTGGTAGTATGTGCCTGTCATCTCAGCACTAAGGAGGTAGAAGCAGTAAGATCAGGGGTTCAAAGTCATCCTCAGCTACATAGTGAGTGTAAGGTCAGCCTGGGCTACATGAGACCCTGCCTCAAACAAACAAGAAAAATAATTAGAAAGGGCTTATCCAGCTGGGCATGATGACACATGCCTTTAATCCCAGCATTTGGGAGACAGAGGCAGGTGGATCTCTATGAGATTGAGGCCACCCTGGTCTACATAGCAAGTTTCAGGCCAGCTATGGCTACAGGGAGACCCTCTCTCAAAAAAGAAAAGAAAAGGGCTTGTCAAGTCTGTCTCAGGATTCCTGTGTAGAGCTTGCTCAGTTAAACCTGTTGCCTATGGCAGGGCATGGTGGTGCATGCCTTTAATCCTAGCACTTGGGAGGCAGAGGCAGGTGTATTCACGGCCAGTCTGGTCTACACAGTGAGTTCCAGGCCAGCTGGGGTTATAGGGAGACCCCATCTCAAAAAGACCAAGACCAAAACAAAACAAAACATAAACCTGTTTCCCTTAATCCTGCACCCAGCTCTGGAGATCAGCAGGTTTGAGACACCTGGCTCTAGAGGTCAGTAGGTTTGAGACAGAAGAACTGCACTCCCTACACACTGGTGGTCCTGGCTATCCGGGGCTGGGACAGGGGCCACAGCTGTACATACAGCAGCAGCGGCTGAGGCTGTGGGGGCACTGGGAGTGTTTAGCGGTCTGGTGCCTGAGCACAGAGCCAGCCTGGGAACCCTGACCAACTAGGGATGGAACCAGATTCTCTGTCAGCATCCCAGCCATCATTGCTGCTTTGGCAAGTCCAAGCTATGCAACATAGCCAGAAAATAAAATGGAAATTCAAAACAATTTCCAGATTATTTCCCCAGAGCGTCTATCTTTTCAGGATACCTCAGTGAGCAATGGAGCCTTACAAAATAACCAGAATACCAGAATACTGAGTAGTAGAAGGAGGAGGGGCCTCAGAGAGCAGGGAGGGAGAGGGAACCTCAAAGGGGAAAGGCCTATGAAGAGGGGAGGTCTCAGGGGAGAGCAGGTCCTGAAGGGATTGAAGCCAAAGGGCAGCTTTTAGGAGAGAATGGGTTGGGTCTCAGAGTGGAGGGCAGAGCTACCTTAAGGACCCAGGTGACAGAGGCCAGTGAAGGGGGCCCAGGGCAGGAAACTTGTGGGTTCTTAGGACCTGCTGTTTGAGGGGTGTGGTATCAAAGGATGGCCTAAATAAAGGCCAGTGAAGGTGCTGGTGGGGGGATCCCTGAGGGGCAGAGTCTGAGGCCTTCGAGTCCCACCTGATCCGGCGGAAGATGCTGTCCAGGTCCCGCTTCATGTCTACCAAGGTGCGTGTATGGTGCAGGAAGCGTTCGCTCATCTGCTGCAGCCTCACACTTGACAAATTGTTGAAATTCAGGAGCATCTCATTTGTCTTCTCGAAGCGGTCCAGCCTAGGGACAGTGAGAGGGCATGAGCCCCTGCCTGAGGCCCAGGTGCCCCAGGCCACAGCCAGAGCTGAGCAATAGTGAGAGGCCAGAGAATTGTTTACTGTGCTAGCCACTAACTCCTATTCACCACTAAATGCCCCACTTGGCCACACCCTCTGCTCCACTTAGCTCTTTCAGAGTTTGCTTTTCGCTTCTTCAGACAGGCTCTTGCTAGGTAGTCGTGTGCCTGGTCTTGACTTACTCCATAGTCAAGGGTGACCTCAAACTTACATTAATCCTCTAGCATCTAGCACATGCCACTACGCCCAGTCACAAGGTTCAGATTTAAATGTCCCCCAGGGGCTGAAGAGACGGCTCAGCAGTTAAGAGCACTGGCTGCTCTTTCAGATCTGGGTTCAGTTCCCAGAACCTACATGGTAGCTAACCACCACCTGTAACTCCAGTTCCAGGGGATCCAATGCCCTCTTCTGGTCTCTGCAGGCACTGCACATACATGGTGCACTTACACACATGCAGGCAAAACACATATATACATAAAATAAAAATAAATAAAATTAAATGTCCCACAAAGGTACTAAAGACCTATCTATCCCCCAGCCTGTGGCAGCAGAAACTTGGAGGTGTGGCCTGCTGGAACACTGGGAGTATGCCCTCCAAAGAAATTCGGGGACCCCAGCTCCCTCCTCCCCTGCTTTGTCATGGCAACAGCCATGAAAGATGGACTGAAACCTGAGCCAGTAAAACCCTTCCCTCTTTTAAGCTGATGATCTTGTGCATTTTGTCAGAGCGTGGGAAGCTCAGAGCCACACCACCCCCAAGCAGACCCTCTGCTCCTGTTGGAGTCCATGAGCCACAAATTCGTCCTCAATCTCAGCCATGACTCCTAGGGCCAGGAGGTTCTTATATCCTTATTTGGTTTTGTTGCTGTTTTGGGAGTTTACAGGGCCAGATTCAAATCTGACCTAAAGAAGCACGAGAGAGGAGCTGGGCCTGTGCACACTTGCAATCCTGGAGCTGGGGAGGCAGAAGCAGGATGACAATTACTAGGAGTTCAAGGTAAGCCTTGGCTAAAGAGTCAGTTTAAGGCCAACCTGGTCTACATGAGACTCTTCTCAAAAAGAAAAAAAAAAAAAAACGCCCACTTGAGTTTGATCCCTGAAGCTCATATGGTAGAAGGAGAGAACTGACTCCTGAAAGCTGTCCTCACCGCCACTTGTGGCACATACATGCATACACCTACACACGCATGCACAAACACACATACATACAAATCAATAGATATAATAAACAGGCAAAAATTCAAGAGTTAAAAAGAAAAAAGTGGGCATGATGGTGCATGCCTTTAATCCTGGCATTCCGGAGGCAGAGGCAGGCAGATCTCCATTAGCCTGGTCTACATAGCAAGTTCCAGGCCAGCTGGGGCTGCAGGGAGACCCTGTCTCAAAAAAAGACAACAATGAGAGAGAGCAATAGAGAAAGAGAGAGAGAACGAGAATGAGAGAAACAACCAGGAGCAAGGGTTGGAGTGTGACTCAGTGGAGAGACTGTATGGAACATGCATAAAATCTGTGGGATGTGTTGAGCAGTGAATCTGAGGCCCATTCCACCCCTCCCCCCACACACAAGCCCTCATGCCAGAGCCAGGAAACAGATGAGGATTTCTAAGACCCAAATACCTTGGACACCCAGCAGAGGGCAAGAGAACATGATAGAGAAATGAGCACTAAACTGGGCATGGCAGCTGCTGCCCATGGAGGCAGAGAGAGAACAACTGCTGCAAGTTTGAGGCCAGCCTCAGCTACAGAAAGAAACCTTGTCTCAAAGAGAGGGAGGACCAGGCATGATGGTGCAACATTTTATCCCTACACTGTGGACGCAAAGGCAGGCAGATCTCTGTGAGTTCAAGGCCAGCCTGGTGTACATAGTGAGTTCCAGGCCAGCTGGGGCTATGGAGGAACCATGTCTCAGAAAAAAAGGGTGGGGTGGGGGGGCTGGGAAGATGGCTCAGTGATAGAGTGATGGCTCTGAAGGTCTGTGGACCTGAGTTTGAGCCTCAGAACCTACAAAAGAAAGGTGGACACATGCAGACCCTACCTCAAAAACAAGGTAAAGCCTGGGCGTGGTGGCACAGCCTTTAATCCCAGCACTAGGGAGGCAGAGGCAGGTGGATCTCTGTGAGTTCAAGGCCAGCCTGATCTACATTGCAAGTTCCAGGCTAGCTGTGGCTACAGGGAGGCCCTGTCTCAAAAAGACAAAAAAAACAACCGAGGTAGAGCTGGATACACCTTTAATCCCAACATTTGGGAGGTCGAGGCCAGCCTGGTCTACAAAGTAAGTCCCAGTAACCCTGTCTCAGAAATAAACAAAAAAATAAAATAATGTGGAGAGTCATGGAGGAAAACATCCAACATCAACCTCTGACCTCCATTTGAGGAAGTGCATTGCATGTGTACACACACACACACACACAAAACGAAGCCTGTGCTGTCAGGAACAAGGGGCTGGGGAGTGCCATCCATTGGAACCAACCCACCACGACTAGGAGCACGCTTGGCAAGCACTCACCACTGAGTCACACTGCAGCCCCATACCTGCTTTTCATGCCAAGCCCAGCTGGAATTAGAGTAAGGTTGTCCTAGGAAGGGAGAAATGCACCCCCAGAGTTCCCAGGAAGTTCCAGGCACAATGCATACCCAGTCTGAGCTCAGAGGCTCTGATGTCCCAAGGCTGCCAGGAAGCCAGCCTAAGCTTGCTGATGCCTCCAGCTGTGCCTAGCCCCAGCTGGGGGACAGGAGCTACTTGGCCCCTGCCAAGATGTAACAGCTGCAGGATGGTTCCCAAGACCTGCTGCCCATGTCAAGGCCTGGATTTCAGGCCAGGAAGGAACTGGTTCCAGGGCTAGGAATGACTTTCCTTCATTTTATCACTGCCCTGGCCTGGGGTGCAGGGTGAGCCAGGCTTCCTTTTTTCCCACTCATCCCAGGCCAGGCTCACATGTTCTTCTGGGCCAGGATGATGGCGTTGACATCATCGGCATTCACCATGCTGAGGAAGCGGCCACAGAAGACTCTTGAGGCCGAATCCGGGGTATCCATCTCTTTCTCCGCCACCTCCGCTGTCTGAAATGACCAAGCACTCAGGTCAGTAGTGGGGCAGGTGGGGACCTCAGTCTGACCCCATCATGGCCCTACAGGAGACACCACCTGAAGAACCTCAGGATACCCAGGCTGGGAATGTGGGGTGTTTGGGAAACTAAAGGAGATCATGAGGCTCTGGGGCCCATCCCCCACACCATATAGGTGGAAAGAGCCCAGCACACACTTGCAATCCCAGCATTACATAGGCTAAGATGGGAAGATGGAGTTTCCATGGCACCCTGGACTATAGAGTGAGACCTCACTCTACCACCTCCATGTTTCCTACTGGTCACAAGCCCAAAAACCAGCCCCTTTCACATACACAGATGGGGTTGTGTTACTGCTCCCCATGCTATGTCTTCCATAGATACTGCAAAGCTGCCACCGGCATCCTGTCAGAGGCTCTCCTCCCAAGTTTGTTTATTTTTAGATTACTGTTGTGTGTGTGTATGCGCACACACACACACACACACACGGGTGCCACAGCATCATAGTGGAGGTCAGAGGACAACTTGCAAAAATCAGTTCCCTGCCTCCACCGTGTGGGTCTCAGTGAGAGAACTCAGGTCTTCAGGCTTAGTGGCAAGCATCTCAGTACCACTGAGCCATCTCACTGGTCCCCTATAGGGCATTTTGTTCTTGTCTGTGATGTGTGTGCTTACATGAAAGGGTGGATGTGTGGGTACAGGCATGTAAGGACAACCTTGAGTACTGACCCTCTGGGGTCTTCCTCCATTTGCTTTTATTCTTTCAAGATTTTCCCCCCCTGCGGGCTGAAGAGATGGCTCAGGGTTAAGAACACTTGGCTGTTCTTCCTGAAGACCTGGGTTCAGTTCCCAGTCCCACTACATTTCAGCTAACAACTGTAACTCCAGTTCTAGGGAATCTGACTCCCTCTTCTGGCCTCTATGGGCACTGTACACACATTGGTGCACTTACATATATGCAGGCAAAACATATACATAAAATAAAAACAATAAAATTTTTTTCTTTAGTTTTTTTGAGCCAAGGTCTCTCTGTAACCCCAGCTGGCCTGGAACTTGTTATGAAGACTAGGCTAGCCTCAATCTCACAGAGATACACCGGCCTATGTCCACAGAGTGCTTGGATTAAAAACGTGCACCACTATGCCTAGCTTTTTTATTAACTTTAAAATTATTTATGTGTATGAGTGTTTTGTCTACATGTACATAAGCACAAGAAATGACTGTGGAGGCCAGAAGAGGGCATTGAATCCCCTGGAGCTGGAGTTACAGATGGTTGTTAGCCACCATGTGGGTGCTGTGAACCAAACCTGGGTCCTCTGCAAAAGCAGTCAGTGCTCTTAACTTTTGAGTCATCTCTCAGTTCCACACTCCCTTTTTTCTGAGGCAGGGTCTCGCTAGCCTGCAACTTCATCATGTGGGTTAGGTTAGCTGGCCCACAAGCTTCAAGGGCTCTGCCTATCTCTGCTTCCATCTCACCAGTGCTGGCATAATAGGTGTAGGCTGCTACTGAGCCCAGTTTTTTATGTAGGGTTAGGGGTCGAACCTTGGGTCCTCAAGACCAAGGCAAGTTCTTTATCAAGTGAGTTATCCCCTCCCACCCACTTTTTTTAGAGACAGGGCCTCACTATGTAGCCCTGGCTGGCCTGGAACACACTATATAGACTAGGCTGGCCACCGACTCAGCGATCCATCTGCTTCTGCCTACTGAGTGCTGGGATTAAAGGCCTGTGCACCATGTCTGGCCTCTGAGACAGTGGGTCTCAGGTAGCCCAGGCTAGCTTGCAACTAACTATGTAGCTGAGGACAACCTTGAACTGCTGATCCTCTCATCTCCACCTCCTGAACGTTGGACAATAGGTGGACATGCGCATCACACCTGGCCCTTGGCCTTCTCTACTGGATTTTAGTTAATCAGTTTATCAAAAGTTCCATTTGTTGCTGGTGTGGTGGCGCACGCCTTTAATCCCAGCACTCAGTAGGCAGTGGCAGGTGGATCTCTGAGTTCAAGGCGAGCCTGATCTACACAGTGAGTTCCAGGACAGCTGGGGCTACAGGGAGACCCTGTCTCAAAAAGACCTAAAAAAAAAAAAAAAAAAGTTCCATTTGTCATCAACCCCATCAGTCATGTAACCTGAGAGAGCACAGCTGTTTCTGACTCCAGAGCCCAGCCTAGAACAGCTCCCAGGACTGTGATTAGGTCAGATAAACAAGTGGGTAAAGTATCTGCCATGCAAGGGTGAGGACCTGAGTTAGAGTCCTAATAACCCAAATGAAGCCAGGCACAGTATTCCTGTCTAGAATCCCAGCTCCCCTAGGCAAGATAGGCAGAGACAGGAGAATCCCTGAAGCTCATGGGCCAACATCCTGTCACAAATAAGGTGGTAGGTGACAAGACACCTGGGGTTGTCCTCTGACCTCCACACAGCACAGACATACTCAAAACACAAGTTTGCAAACTCAGCTCTGAACAAGGCTAGGGGCTAGTGAGAGGGCTCAGCAGGCAGAGGGGTGTCCTGCCATGCCTGACAAAATGATTTTGATCACTTTGATATGATCCCTAGGACTCACATGGTAAAGAGACTCCCAAAAGGTGTCCTCTGCCCTTCACATGCACTTCCACACATACATACAGACAATACACTAAAAAAAAAAAATTAAAAAACAAAACAAACAAATGAAAAAAAACACTGGTTGTTCTTTCGAAGACCTGGGTTTGAATCCCAGCACCCACATGGCAGCTAACAGCTATTCATAACTCCAGTCCCAGGGGATCCAACAGCCTCTTCTGACCTCTGCCAGCACTGCACAACACAGGTGCACTTACCTACATGCAGGCAATACATGCATACACATAAAATAAATTAAAAAATTTTTAAAGTTAAAAAAAAAAAAGCATGTCAGGCTAGGGCCTCCAAGCCAGACTGGTCTACACTGAATTCTGGTCTCAAAAACCAATCATAACACTCAGCGCTGAAGCTAGCTATATTTTTTTTATTAGCAAATTAAAGCCAAGAATTATAGGCACTGGCAGACTCAGCCAGGACCCAGATGGCCTGCAGTTCCCAGCAGCTCTGCCTCCCAGCTCCCCTGGGAAGACAGATATCCTCACTCTGCCCTGAGAGTGGAGCTTCCCTCCCTAAGCCAAGGCCCAGGAACAACAACAATCCTTATAGAGTGTTCAAGAAAACCCCAGCATCCTGAAATGACTTGGCTGAGAAAGACCGGTTAAGCATTCATCAAGATTCACACAGGAGGGGCTGGAGAGATGGCTCAGTGTGGTTAAGAGCACTGGCTGCTCTTGCAGAGGACCAGGGTTTGATTCCCATCAACCACATGGCAGATAACAACCACCTGTAACTCCAGTTCCAACGCCCTCTTCTGGCCTCCACAGGCATTGTATGCACAGGTGCACTTACATATATGTAGGCAAAACACCCATACACATATTTTACAAAAGAATGTTTTTTAAAGAAAGGGAAGAGACTAAAAAGTCATGTAGTGAAAGGGCAGGGTCACGAGGTCAGAAGTAAACAATCTGCATAAACAGTTGCAAAACCTAGACTTAGAGATATGGTTCTAGATCAAGATATTGCTCCTCAGCTGGGGCTCAGCTCAGTTGGTAAAGCCCCTGCCTAAAGCATGCATGAAGCCCTGTATTCCTTCCTCAGCACAGGATATACCAGTTGTGTGGTGCACCTTTGTGACCCCAGCACTTAGGAAGTAAAGGCAGGAGGATAAGTAATTTCAAAGCCATCTTCAGTTACATAGTGCTTTTGACCCCAGCCTGGAATACAGGTGACCAGACTCAAAAAGTTGAGCATAGTAGTGCCTGCCTGTTAGCTCAACACTGTGGGAACTGAAGAGGGAGGACTGTGATAGCTCGGGTTGACGCAGTAAGATTATTGGGAATTCCAAGTCAATCTGAGCTACATGAAGCCCTGTCTCAAAAAATAAAAAAATGGCGGGGCATGGTGGCACATGCCTTTAATCCCAGCACTCGGGAGGCAGAGGCAGGTGTATCTCTGTGAGTTCAAGGCCAGCCTGGTCTACACAGTGAGTTTCAGGACAGCTGGGGCTACAGGGAGACCCTGTCTCAAAAAGACCAAAAATAAAATAAATTTTAAAATGCCAGGCATGGTGGTGCATGCCTTTAATCCCAGCACTGGGGAGGCAGAAGCAAGTCTATCTCTGTAAGGCCAGACCAGCCTGGTCTACATAATGAGTGCCAGGCCAGCTGGGGCTTCAGGGAGACTGTACCCAGTAACATAACAAATAAATAAATAAGTAAATAAATAAATAAATAAATAACACTGTCTTAATTGAAGCCAGTGTGGGCTACTATCTCAAATAATAAATAAATAAATAAATAAATAAATAAATAAATACTCTCCCCCAGTAATTCGAGGCCAACCTTATCGCCCAGGGAACAGGCAGACAGAATGATGCTTGCGCCTCTAGGCAACAAACTGGGCGCAGAGTCGCCACCGTTGCATCTGAATTGCCCTCCGTTACCCAAACTCGGAAAAAACAACACGGCTGGGGCGGGGCTCAAACTTGCACTGAGGCCCCGCCTCTCCGAGAGGGAAAACTGAGGCTCGCGCAGCCCAGGGATCCCGCCACCGGCCGACCGTCACGGAACTTGAGTTCACAGCCTTATCCACCCGTGCCCGGCCTCGGGGCCGGGAGAACTGGGCCGGCTGGGCTACAAAGCCCGGATGTGCCTGCCCTTCCCGCCATGGCACAGCCAGCGGCCTCCCGCAGCCCCGCGGTCCCCACCCGGCCCGACCCGCCCCGGCATCTCTGGCCTCGGCACCTGCACATCTGGCGGCCTGGCTCGCGCTTCCGGGATAGAGCCCGCACCGCCCTACGTCATCACGTAGCGTCCGTGCGAGCGCGCGGAGCCCCTTCGGCGTGAAGCGCGAACGAGCGTGCGTAAAAGCAGGACGGGAAGGGGCGGGACCGAGAGGCTAGTCACTCCAGTAACTTGTGTGCATGCTCTGTGTTCCATCCGAGTCTCTGCAAAGCAACCGGGAAGTGGGAAGGCAGAAAGACACTTCCCATTGCCCAGAGTTTGATGCTGAGGCCTAGCGTCTGCAGGCACTTCTTCAAAGCCCTATATACTTCCGTGAGCTGCTTTCCAGGCTGGGTTCAGATTCATCCAGGCTACTAATTTTTTTTAAATTTATCTATCATCTATCTATCTATCTATCTATCTATCTATCTGATCTATCTGTCCTATCTAATCTATCATCTATATCTATCTAATCTATCATCTATATCTATCATCTATCTATCTACCTACCTACCTATCTACCTATCTAATCTATCTATCTATTCTATCATTATTTTGGTTTTTTTGAGACAGGGTCTCCCTGTAACCGCTGACCTGGAATTCACTGTAGACCTACCTAGACAGGGCTTGCTTTGATCTCACAGAGATCCTCCTGCCTCTGCCTCCCAAGTGCTGGGATTAAAGACGTGAGCTACCATGCCCAGCTAAAATATGAAGACCCTGTCTCACAAAAAAAAAAAAAAAAAAAAAAACCAAAAAGAAAAATTAAATGAAAAATAAATAATAAAATAAAATAAAAATATCATCAGGCGTGGTGGCGCATGCTTTTAATTCTAGCAATTGGGAGGGAGAGGCAGGCGGATCTCTATGAGTTCATGGCCAGCCTGGTCTAAATAGCACCAGGCCAGCTGGAGCTACAGGGAGACCCTGTCTCTAAAAAAAGACCAAAAAAATTGTATTTATAAAAAAACAAAACATTGTATTCATGTGCAAAATTCTCAACAGATTAAAATATATATATTGGTCTCCCTGTAGCCCCAGCAGGCCTGGAACTCACTATGTAGACCAGGCTGGCCTTGAACTCGCAGAGATCCCCCCTGCCGCTGCCTCCCAAGTGCTGGGACTACAGGCGTGTGCCACCACGCTCGGCATGAATAAAATTTTTAAAAGATTTTTAAAATTATGTATATGTGCATCTTTGTGGGTATGTGCACATGACTGCAGGTATCCTCCAAGGCCAGAGGTGTCTGATTCCCTGAAGCTGGAGTTACAGGCAATTGTGAGCCATATGACATGAGAGCTAGAGCTGAACTTGGGGTCCTCTGCAAGAGGATGGACTCTTAACCACTAAGCTTTCTCTCCAGCCCCATACAATGTATTTTAATCTTATTTACCACCAACCCCCACTCCTCTCCCTAACTCCTCCAAAATCCACCCCACTCCTAATTTTTTTGTTGTTTGAGACAGGGACTCATGTAGCACAAGCTGGCTTCCAACTCGTAAGTAGCCAAAGAGAACCTTAACTCCTGATTATCCTGTCTCAGCCTCCCAAATGCTTGGATAACAGGCAATGAGTCACAAAATCTAGCCTTCGGAAATGTAAAAAGAGGGCTGGCCTCTATCCTGCTATGTGGCCAGATACTACCTTAAACTCCTGGTCTTCCTGCCTCTACTTACTGAGGTGACAGGAGTGTCTTTAGGGGTTGGTTTTGTTTTGTTTTGAAACGGTCTGTCTGGGAGCACCAGTTGACTTGAGACTCCTTATATATCCTAGGTGGCCTCCATTTCACATATTAGCCTGTTTTGGCCTCCTGAGTGCTAGGATTAAAGGTGTGCATCAACATGCTGGGCCTTCTTTCTGGTTTTGAGATAGCATCACCTGGGTCACCTGAAACTCACTGTAGAGCCAGGCTCATCTGAAACTAACCTCAGTTTCCAGGTGCTGGGATTGCAGTTTTGGAACACCTCACCTGGTTTCTGAGTATTGTAGTTTGAGTACCTCAAGATGTCCTGTGATGTGGGGAAGGCCTGTTTGAAGAGTGAGGTATAGAAACCAGGATCCATATTCTGGTGTGTGCATTTTCCCCAGCCCACCGCTTCTACCTGCTATCAGCAGTCCAAGCTAGAAAATGCATCGAGGCATGCATTTTCTAACCCTCCAAGCCATGTGCACTCTCCTGTACCTTAGCCTTCCAAGTCTGCCCTGTTGGAGGCCAAGCCTTAAGTGTACCCCTGCCCCAGTTTGAAACAACCAGGTGGCCTTGTAAAAACATGTTTTTCTTGCCCTGATTTTTTTCTACATTTTACTTCCTTATCTTGTGAAACCATCAGGGCTCATGACTGTAGTAGAAATTCCCCAGCAGGGCCTTACTGCCTTCCAGTCCCCCCGCCTTCTCTCCACCCTTTACCTTCCCCCACCCTCCGCTTTACTATATTAACACTGTGTGATTGCTCAGTAAATGAGACTTGATCAGAATACTGTCTTGTCTCCATTTCTTCGTACCCGCTGTCTATTCATTCCTCCAGGTTCAGTCTCGGTGCCCCACGCTGTTGCTCCGCGGGTCGGGGCAGGGTCTGCTGTTTATTTTCCCAGTTTTATGCTGGGTTACTGTCTGGGAGTCTCTTGGGCCACCCTGGCCAGCAACTCAAAGAAAGGTATTTCCTGTCTGGCATTGTTTCTTATTATGAAGCCTTTAGCTATACACATGGACTCTTGAAGAATTATACTGATCCCTTTAACTTTTGGTTATACTTTCCTTTTGGGTGTTTAAGACCATACAGTTGGCCCAGATAAACCAATTTATTTTTACTCTTTTTCAAAA